GTCCCTCTGCTTCGGAGCGGAGCGGAAGCTCATGGGAAGGTCCGTGACTGCACCGCCCTGGTCTTACGACGGAGCGCGGCTGCCCACTTGCTCCGACGCTCGTCCGCTCTGAGGGCCTGTTCTGCCGGGTCCTGGGCTCAGCTCTTCCTTCCTTAACTCAGCAAATAGATACGGCCACCCTCCCTGCGCCATCACCGTGCCCGGCCTCAAGGATCAGTGTGAATGGACAGACACAGTCCCTCCCCTGTGCCCCAGGAGCTCCTTGTCCCCTGCGGGAAATAGCTGTTGGTCCCCCAGCATGCCTGTTAGTGTTGGACAGGACCGGCCTCAAGAGCCTGAGACAGACACTTGTCTCCCGAGGACATGGTGGGCCCCCAAACCTCGCCTTTCTCATCTCAGGAAGGTGGTTGGTTGGATGCCTCTGCCCACGTCTGGGGTGACATTCAGATGATCTCACTGCGCTCAGACAAACTTTGTAAAGTGAGGTTGTAGCCCTGGAGGGACACAGAACTTTCACCTAAGAAAGGTCCTCACGGACCCAGCGACTTTCCAGACAGGGAGGAGGAGGAGGGCGGCCTCTGGGTGGAGGTGCGGGATGGAGTCTCTCCCCCGTGGCCGGATGGACACGGCAGGAACGTGGGAGCCCCAGTCTCAGGGGGACCGTCCAGGTGTACGGGGCCTGGCGCGCAGCAGGTGCTCCGTGGATCATTGCAGGATGAATATTGCTGTCCAGGTTCTCTTGACCAGTAGGGTGGGGTGCCGGGGGCTGAGTGCACAGCTGACCCTCAAGCGAGGCGGGGAAGGAGCATGCTCATCCCCAGCGCTGGACGGGGGTGGGAGGGCCGGCTGCCATCAGGCACCGCAGGTGTGCGTCCTTTCTCGGTCCCCTGGACTCTGGTTAGATCCCATTTGGCAGATGAGTGAACTGAGGCTTCAGAGGTGAAGGGCCACCCTTGGGTCACACAGACCATCACTGGCCAGATTCAAAACGTCCACAGCACCTGCCCTTGGGTGCCTCCTGTAGTTCTGAAGGCCCAGGCCAGGGGGTCCGTATGGGTCTCTCCATTATGGGAGGCCCTGCCCTCAGCCCTGGCCGTGTGCGCCAGGCACGATGGCACACTGTTGAAGCACCCTGGCAGGAAGAGAAATTTCCTCCCTTCTGGCCTGGGGAGCTGGGCCTTGGTGCTGCTGAGCCCCGAAAGTGGGGAGAGGTCCCCCGACCCCTGTTCAGCTCTGGGCCAGGGGCTGTCCGCTTTGAGACACTGAGCAACTCTTGAATCCAGGGCACCTCAGGGTGGAGAGGTCTGAGCTCAGGAGGCAGGGAGAGGTCTTCTGGGCTCGTGCCTACCTCTACCCAGAAGCTGTCCGTGTTTCCGTCACCCACCAGCCGGCCTTTGTGCAGGTAAAGTGGTCTAAGATGCCAGGTCTTCTGCCATGGGCGGGGCTGGAGCCCAGCCAGGGACCCCCAGACCCCAGCAGGTGGACACGTGGTGTCCCAGCCAGCAGCTCCCATGGAAGGAGAGCCCCCCTCCCTTTTCCAGCTGTGTGGACATGGCTTGGGAATCAGCGCCTGACAGAGTCTGAGACAGACCTGCTCACCCCTGTCCAGCCCCAGAGGGCCAGGCCTGGCCCAGCAGCAGGCAGAGGCCCTGCCTCCCCGGGGCCTGGGAGGAGAGGAGGTCGGGCCTATGTGGGACACGGGCTGACCCCACCCCACCCCTTTGGAGTGAGAGGAAGGGCTTCTGACATCCAAGACCAGGGAAGGAGCCTGACCTTTGCAGTCAGGTAGGCTCTGCCAGGCACTGGCTGTGTGATCTTCCGCAAGTTGCTTCCCCTCTCTGAGCCTCGGTTTTCTCATCTCTAAAGTGGGAAGAAGGAGGCATCTGTCACCGAGGGGATGTTGGTAGAGCCAGGCTTGGGGAGTCCCTCTTTCTGACCCTCCCCTCCTGGTGGGACAGATCTCTGCCTTCAGACTCCATCCTGGGGGTCCTCTTCAGGGCGCCCCCCCCCCACTCCTCTTGGTTCCTGTTAACAGCTTTGACCCCCCAGCTTTGGTCACTGGCAAGCAGCGCTGAGGCCCCAACCCTTCCATACCCCAGCCCCCAGCCCCCTGGCTGTGGCCGCCCACAATGGGGGCTTCTCACAGCTCAAAGGCCTCATTCAGCCACCACGCAGCAGCTGGGGCAATTTGGAGAAGAAAATAAACATTTCCTCCCAGTGTTGGGATTGGCTGCTCGACAGCGGCCTGGCCAGCTCAGGTTTCCTGGGGCTACTGGGCTGGAGGGAGTGAGGGGTTGGGGGGGGCAGGAGCTGAGGGGTGCTGAGGGCAGATGCTCCCCCCACCACCCTGCCCTGGGAGGGAGACGGGAGGGGATGGTGGCAGATCCAGGCAGGCCTGCCCGCAGCCCACGGGACCCCCCGAGGGCCACACACACCCAGGCCCACCCGGCACAACCCCTGTGTTTAGCAGACTGCGGTCCTGTCATCGCATCCTGGGGTCCCTGTTTGGGTCCCCTTTGTTTTGAAAAAAGGCTTCCCTGTCATAGGGTCAGCACTCACTTTTCTGAGCTCAGAGCAAGGTGTTAGCCTCATGCTCAGCTCTTCCGAGAAGTGCCAGGCAATGGCCCCAAGGCTTCTTCCCCGGGGTTGGGAGGTGAGGATGGGAGCCAGGCTCCCCTGACCCCCTAGGCTTCAGGGCAGCACTGACCAGTCAAGAGATCTGTTAGGGAGGGTACCAGGTGTGCCAGAAGACCCCAGTCTCCCGGACCCTCGCCCCCCACCTCCCCAACCTGGAGCCTGGGCACAACATTGCATTCTGGTCCACGTCAGAGACTGGACAGAGACTGCTGCTGAGGAAGCAACCTCCAGCTGAACCGGAAAGACCCCAAAGCCCAGAGAGGTTGCAAGGGTTATCTGAGGCCACACAGCGCCTCAGGCCGATCTGGGAAAGCAAAGCCTAGAGCACCTGCAGCTCTTATCCCAGCCACGCCTCAGGCCCTGCAGACAGTGCCCGCCTGGAGTTGGCCAGGGGAAGGGCTGGGCACCTCCCGAGTCCTCTCTGGCACCTAGTCTTTGGTGGACAGAGGGCTTGGGAACAGACTGACTTCCCAGTGGAACTGCTGCTGGGAGCTCACCCGCCCCCACCCCAACTGCTGCCCAGAGTCACCCCTGTGGCCAGGGTACAAGGAAGGACTGGGGTCAGGGGCTCATCTTTGCTGGGCCCCAAATGGGCCGGTTTTCCTGGGTGCCAAGAGCGGGAGGTGTCACAGCCACAGCGGCAGCACACGCCCTCATCAGGCCCCTGCGCTGTGCCCAGTGTCAGCACTTTGCATGTATTAAATCCCTAGGGCCTGTTATTGTCTCCGTTTTTCATGTGGGACAACCCGATGCACAGAGAGGTTAAGTGACTTGCCCAGGGACACACAGCTAGTCAGTGTCAGAACTAAGGTCTGTATCTAAGCTTGGAGACGATATAGTTAACTTCCAACGTGCTGCCTCAGAGATGGGACAGCTACCCCTCAGGCACGGGTAAGTGCTCAGGACCAAGAACCCCTGGATTCCGTGCCAGGTCCCAGGTGCTGTGTGACCCTTCCGCGAGTGCCTCACTCTCTCTGAGTCTCAGGTTTCCTACTAAGGGATTTGGACTCGTTCCTGAAGCCTCTTGGGAAGTTGAGGGTTTGGGAGTCCATGATTACAAAAGGTGAGGCAGAGGCTAGGATACCCGCGTCTTGGAGTCAAACCCCTGGGGGAGTCAGGGCAGGGCTTGGGCTGGACACTGGGTCTCTCTGCGATGTGGGCAGAGTCCAGGCCACCAGACCCCCTCGATCTGCCATCTCACTTTGTTGTGGCGGCAGGTAAGGGCAGCATCTGACCCTTGTCTGGCCACCAGGCAGCTCCAGGCTGCGGGCAGCCCTGGAGATGACAGGCCCAGGGTGAGGCTGGGTGGCAGGCACAGAGCCGCGGTGGACGCGGCCCCCTCAAATGCAGGCCAGACAGCTCCCGTAGCCTCGCTGAGCCCCACTGGGCAGAGAGGTGAGGCGGGCGCACGCACACGAGTACATCCCAGTGGGAGCAGAAAGCAGAGAGCCCCTGACGTTTGTGCAGAGTTCCAGTCCTTTGTGCAACATAGGAGAAGCCATCTTTCTCTCTCTGCCTGTTCCCTTTGTCTGCAAAAAGCAGGACTAATTCCTTATCTCGCAGGACCACCAGAGACCCTCTTAACACCCACGGTCTTCCCAGTTCTTACTTAACCCAGAGGGAGAGAGGGAGGCAGGAGTTGCCGGGCCAGGCTGCTGGGTGGCCGGTGCTGGCCCCGTCCTTGGGGTCCCCGACACCAACAGCCCAGCTGGGGGCCCAGCTTCACCCCCTCGACGGACCTCTGCACGGCCAGGCTGTGACGAGGACTCTGGGAGGAGAGAGACAAGCCCCCCCCCGCCCCAACCAGCCACCCACAGCCCAGACACCTGCTCTTACCTGTCCCCAGGTGGGGGCCAGATTCGGAGTCCGCAGGCTCCAGCCCCCAAGCAGCCCAGAAGGGTCAGAGCAGAGCCAGACCTAGAACCAGGGGGTCCCCCACACGGGCCTATGAACCAGAGCCTGAGGTCCTTTTTGTCTTTTCTTTCTTTAAAAATCAATCTATTTTTTAATTTCTGGCTGCAATGGGTCTCCGTTGCTGCCCGTGGGATTTCTCCAGTTGTGGCGAGTGAGGGCTGCTCTTCCTTATGGGGCGCAGGCTTCTTAGGCGGCGGCTTCTCTTGTTGGCAGAGCACGGGGTCGGTGGCCTTGGCCCGACGGCTCAGTTGCCTTGCTCATGCAAGATCTTCCTGGACCAGGGATCGAACCCGCGTTGCCTGCTATGGCAGGCGAATTCTTAACCCCTGGACAAATCAGGGCCGTCGCCCAAAGTCATTCTTAAAGAAGGGTCCCGGGTGGGACGAGGGTGGGGGGCGTCGGGCTGTGACTGACCGGTCCCTCCTTGCTGTCCACTCCCCCCTCGCCAGGCACCTCGGAACTGAACCCCTTCTCCGACCCCCGCCAGTTCGACCGCTCCTTCCTGCCGCCCCTCACGGAGAGCCGCTTCCCCGACCCCCGGATGCATTACCCAGGGGCCATGTCGGCCGCCTTCCCGTACAGCGCCACGCCCTCGGGCACCAGCATCAGCAGCCTCAGCGTGGCCAGCATGCCGGCCACCGGCCGCTTCCACCACACCTACCTCCCGCCGCCCTACCCGGGGGCCCCGCAGAACCAGAGCGGGCCCTTCCAGGCCAACCCGTCCCCCTACCACCTCTACTACGGCGCGTCCTCCGGCTCCTACCAGTTCTCCATGGTGGCCGGCAGCGGAGGCGGCAGCAGCGGGGGCGACCGCTCCCCGACCCGCATGCTGGCTTCCTGCACCAGCAGCGCCGCCTCGGTCGCCACCGGCAACCTCATGAACCCCAGCCTGGGCGGCCAGAGCGACGGCGTGGAGGCCGACGGCAGCCACAGCAACTCGCCCACCGCGCTGAGCACGCCCGGCCGCATGGACGAGGCCGTGTGGCGGCCCTACTGACCGCCCGCGGCAGGGTGGACCGCTCTCGCCGGCGGCGCGCGGCGGAGGGGAGGGACCCCCAAGAACCTTCCAGACAAGCGCGGCGGGCCCAGCTCCAAGGCTCAGGGCACCAACTGGACTTAACGCTCCGGGGCAGTCGTGGGCCTCAGACGGGTCCACCGTCCCAGGGGGTGGCCCCGGAGCTGGTGGTTGGCTCTAAGAGCGTCTTATCCCAGAGCCACGTCTTTGTACAGAGGGGTGGGGACCTCTCCCAGGACTCCGCCCCCAGCCCAGATCATCTCATCCCACGTCCCTGTGGGAGAAGCCCCCTCCTGCCACCCGCCCACCCCTGCCCCCTGCCCAGGGTGAGCCGGCTGTCCCCAGCTACGCCACTACTGTCAGGGGCCCAGGCCCCCTGGACGGAGACCGTCTCCTTCCCAAAGAGAGGTGGTGTTTGCCCACACGGTTTGCCCTCTTACTCACAGAGCCCTAGAAAGACCTCCCCCCGCCATCTTCCTCAGAGACCCCTCACCCCGTGGGCCCAGCCCTTCCCTCCACATTTACACTAGTTGAGTCACAACTGGAAGGTTCCCCCAGCCCTGAAAGGGGGGCTTCCTCATGGTATGGATGAGGAAGCAACCCCTCCAGAGGCCCCGGGGAATTGTTAGCAGAGATGGAAAGAGGACACCCCAGGCCCGCCCGCTGCCCGAGCTCTGCTCCCCCACAACTCGTAGCAGCTAAGAGGCCCCAACCCGGTCCCAGGGCCCCAGAGCAGACTGGCCTGTGACAGCAGGTCCCTAAAACCAGGGCAGGCACCGGCAGACGGGTCCTCCGTGCACTTTACCAGTCCGAGCCGTTCGCCCTCTCCTCCCTCTAGGGCCTGGGAAGGGTCCCCTTTCCCCTCGGCTGGTCTCCCATGTTGCCATTTTTGGACAGAGCACCAGGACCGGACAGGTCCTAGCAGAAAGCCTTGGGGTGACGGGTCATGGGGTCAGATGTCAGCCTCCCTGTCCTACCTAGGTCCAGCCAAGCTGCACACACCCCTGACGCCCAGCCTCATGAGAAGGCCCAGCCAAACCTCCCAGCCTCTGACATACAACCTTCCATCTTTAACCAGTCTGCTCCCAGAGCAGTCTTGAACAACAACAACAGAAAAGAAAAACCAGTTGTCAAAGCTGGTTTTAGAAAAAGAAGTTTCTCAAACATTTTCAGACACCCCGTCCCTTACAGGAAAAGGCCCCGTGATAGTGAATGATACTCCCCCCACCCCCTCGAGGGTGTGGAATTGTTAGCCACACCCCCAAAAACCTCCTCAAGATGTCACAATCCTTCAAGCAGCATCCTACCAGCTGCCACCAAAGGGAAACCCTGCTGCGGACCAAAGGAAGCGCTGGTGAGAGGCTGGAGTCTTCTGTCTTCGACTCTTCAGGCGTTTGTTCTTGCCAAGAGGGTGTGAGCTGGGGCGAGGTGGCTGAGTGAGGGCAGATCACAAGAGCTGTTAAGAGCTTGGCAGCCTCAGCCCCGGCTCTGTTCACGGGAAGTGCTGCAGTTTGCAGATGGGAAAACAGTCCTGGCCCCCGGGTTTAGGCGCGTCCGAGTGTTCTGGTTCTAGAAAGACATAAGAAACCCATGCCTGAGGGTTTCTTTTTTTTAAATTCTAGAAAGGCAGAAGGGGAACAGGACAAGAAAACTCTAGAAGCATTGGGCAGCATGTGGATTTAGTCGCTGTTTTCGGCCCCATCTTCTGTGGAGGTGGGAATCTCCTCCACAAAGTGCCCCTTGGCGGTTGTCTCTGTAACAGCACTTGGCCGGCCGCCACCCCAGCCTGCAGCCGCTGGCGGAGAAGCACACGGGGTGCCCACTCAGGCAGGTTAGGAAGTCCTCCTGGTGGTCTTACTCAGCCCCCTCTTGCTGCAGTTTGTCTTCTGGGAAGAAAAGCACGTCTCCATCCTTTAAAACAGCTGCTAAGGGGTTCCACTGACTCCCTCAGGCAGCGTGCAGGTTCTGGGGGGGCAGGCTCCCCACTCCTCCTCAGGAAGCAGCTACAGATTCACTGCCCCGGTGTCTTCTCTCCTGTTCCCTGTGCTTGTACACGGGCCCCAGGCCCCAGCGGGAGGCACCCTTGGGTCCCCAGGGCCCAGCACTTTGTAGCCCTCCCCACCCCCCCAGATGACTACCCGCTTCCTGATATCCAAGCCCTGGTCGGGGCAGGGACCGGAAAATAAATTGACCCCCTCGCCCCTGCCCAGTCCCCGACTAAAAGTGATGGCAGCCATGCTGAATCTTGTTTTTTAATGCCCGTGGTGGGTGCAGACAGCTTGGGCTGGTAAAAATGGGTCCTTATTTACAAGGCTGCTTTAAAGTCATACAAGGCAAACACACTGACTCAGAAAGCACAAGGAATCAAGGGGTATGGGTACCGTATTACTGTAAGCCTATTGGTGATGGGTACAGGTTGGTTGTGACATATTGTCATGCTGAGATGTTCATACCTGCTATACGCATACCTTCGTAAAACCGTCCCAGGGCTGGGAAGAGGGTGGGGGAGGGGTGGAAACTTGCTTTGCACTATAATTTGCTTGGTGTGTTTGTTTTTAATGCACAACTTGCTTGTACAGTAAACCATCTTCTATACTATTTAACTGTAACATGGGATTTTGACTGATTTGTTACAATAATAGGACTCTGAGATGTGTCAGAGGACCCTAGTGCCAGACCTCCAGGGCTTTGTGCATTGGGTGGGGCGTTGGGGGGGGGGTTGCGGTGGGAGAGGATGGAGCCCTCCCACCATGGCCAGGGAGGAAGAGGGCAGGGCCTGGGGGCAGGACCAGGACTGACCTCGCTGTTTCGGAGACCCCCCACTCCCACCCCCAGCGCCCTGGCCTCCCTGCATGCAGCTCCATCAGGAATGGCCAGAGAGACCACTCTGGGCTAGAACAGCTGTCGAGGCCTCCTCCTGGTGTGGCTGGAACACCAGGGAAACTGTCGTCTGCAGGAGCCGCCATGCCTCCTCCCCTCACAGGTGAATTCGCAGGACAAACAGGGCCCCTCCTCCAGCTTGTTCCCCAGGCCCTGAGTTAGGAGGGGCCGAGGCGGGTGGACTGTGGCGCGGCCTCAGTGAGAGCCCTGCGCTGGGAGCTGTTTGCTGCAGCACTTGACAATCAGAGGTGCGAGGCGGGCAGCGCCAGCAGCTCACCCAGCGTGCGGATGAGGGGACCGAGGTGCAAAGAGGGGGTGTCATCTGGCTCCGCCTCTCCACAGAGTTGTTTGTGGCTGATGGTGGGGCCCGTGGGTGTGATGGTGTGGGGACCTGGCTGGGCTGCCTCCCTCCCCACCCCACCAGCAAGGAGGCCTGGCGCACCGTGCCTGTCCAGCTGGGATTTGAGGAGGGGAAATTTCATAAAACAGACCTTATTTTTGAGTGAAAAGACTTCAAAAGCTAATCCCAAGACTTTGCCTTGTTCGGTTAGGTTGGTCTGCCCGAAACCCAACACCCAGCAGGAAGTTCCCCTTTCCCCAGCCAAACCCTGATCCCCGCCCCTCTGCCCTGCAGCACCCCTTCTGCCCCAGGGCCAGCAGAGTCTTCTCTGAGCAGGAGTCCAGCCAGAGCGGCAGGCTGGCTCTGAGTGGCCTCTGCCTGGATGAGCAGGACTGGTCCTGAAGCAGCATCTATAAGCCAACACACTTCCATGTATGTGTTTGTGTGGGGGCACTTTGGAGGGCTTCCCAGGTGGCGCTAGTGGTAAAGCACCCTGCCTGCCAAGGCAGGAGATGTAAGAGACGTGGGTTCCATCCCTGGGTTCGGAAGATGCCCTGGAGAAGGAAATGGCAACCCACTCCAGTACTCTTGCCTGGAGAATCCCCATGGACAGAGGAACCCGGCAGGCTACAAGGTCACAAAGAGCTGGATGCGACTCGGAAGTGACTTAGCAGGCTTGGAGGGGATGATGGAGGTTCTAAGTGAGCCCCAGTTCAAGCTCCTCCCCGCCGGCCACACCTGGGTGCCGCAGCTGAGAGAAAAGGAGGTGTGGCCTCCACAGCCCCTGACTCAGAGCTCCAGCGCCTTCACCCCAGAAGACACAGACCGGCACACCCAGCTTCCCAGAGGGAAACGGAGGTCCAGAGAAGTGGAGGACTTGCCTGAGGTCACACTGTCTGGGGCTGAAGGGGCAGGCGCTGCAGTGACTACATCAGCCTGCAGGTGGCAGCAGACGGGGAGCGTGGCCCTTCCCCTTCAGAGAAGGCGGAAAAGGGACGTGGCCTCAGTTACGGCCAGAATTCAGGTTAGGTATTAAGAACTTCCTAACCTCAGGAGGGTCATCCCAGAAGGGCCTGGGAAACGTCTTGATGTGGAAGGAGGATTTTTGTTCCTTCTTGAGCTCTGTGGCCGTGGGAGGTCCCTGTCCCTCTCTGAGCCTCCCTTTTCATTCAGACATTACACAGGCACCTACTACGTGCCAGGTATGTAGCAGAACCCAGGTCCCGTGGTCCCTAGAGGCCCCGCTTTGGGACAGAGGTTTACTTGGCTTGCCGGGAAGGTTGACGTCCCTCGTCCGGCAACCGCAGCCTACCACTGGAGCCCTGGCCCAGGCCCCCCACTCCTGCATCTCCCGTCCAGGGTGAGACCTTTCTGTTCCAGAGTCCGTGGGCCCTTGAACCCTAGAATTCCATTTTGAGGCTTGAGGACTTGGTCCAGTTTGGACAGTGCCTACAGGCTCACCGGCCCCTGCCCAGCCCCACAGGCCTGTATGCGGCCTGGCCAGAGGCTGAGAGAGGTGGTCCAGGCCTTGGGACGCCCAGGGGTGGTCTGCTGGGCACTGGGCTGTGCTTGGCACCCCTCCGCTGAGGGTTGAAGTGGCCCCAGACAGACTTCTAGCCTTCTGGGCTTCTGGCCTTGGAGAAGACTTGGACTTTCATTGTGAGAGAGGGACGCCTTGGCAGGGGTCTCAAGGCCTGGGGCGGGGGTGGGGGTGGGGGGACTGTGAGGGTCAGAGGAGGCAGTGAGGGGCTGCCTGGTGTGGGGCCAGCCCCCGGTGTTATGGGGAAGGGCCTCAGACCTGCCTCTCTCCCCTGCTGCCCCAGACTGCACCCCATAAACACAGCCAGCCAGGCGCCCCCCACCCCCGCCCTCAGCGTGACGCAGGGGGCAGTGCTGAGCCGCCCCAGACACTCAGATTGGCCACGTGAGCCGGGAATGCACCTCAGTGAGTCGGTTCATTTTGGGGTCGTAAATGAAATGAGCTGTCAAACGGACTGGGGGGTGGGGGTGGAGGTGGGGGGGGGGCGCCAGAGTGAAAGAATGAACTGTTCCTTGCGGAAACTCAGGGTGCTCCCATTCCTCCCCATGAGGGCCAGGGGAGCCGGGGTGAGGGGCCATGTCCCCCAGCATCCGCATCCACACCTGTGTGGCCCAGCAGCTAGAGGAGCCGGGGAGCCGGATTCCAGGCTTCCTATTTTTAGTTTTGCAGCTCAAGGCCTGCTGTTTGTTTTATATATTTATATTCACCCGCAGAGGGAGCCGGCCCTGGGCCCAGCCCGGAGGCAGCCCTCGAGCAGAGGGGAGGGGGGCAAGCCCTAGAGCCCGCGTTCTGGAACCACCCTCCCTTGGTGCCCAGGCCGGCTGCTGAAACCGCGGGGGCCTCGTGGGTGTCCTAATGGGTGGCACCCATTTGGGCCACACACACCACGCTACTCTTCCGGGCTGGTGTCTTCAAGGCCTTGGCCAGAGTTCATGCACTCATTCACCAGAGACCCAAGCCCCACACCACTCCCATGGGCTGAACGGCAAGCAAAAAAGGCCAATAAGACATAGTTGTGCCCCCGGGGAGTTCATGGGGCAGGCAGACTGGAAGACAGGAGGGCTCAGCCAGGGGATGCAGGGTGCGGCTGAGACAGGATGGAAAGATGAACAGAAGTTCTCTCAGCCACAGGAGAGCCTCTAGGTGGAAGGAACCATACATGCAGAGCCTGGAGGATAGAAGCACGTCTAAGCTGGAGTGGACACGGGAGTACGGAGGAATGGTGAGGGGCCCATATGGGAGGCGAGCAGCCCAGGAGGTCGCAGGGGCTGAAGGTCGAGCTGAGGGGCTTGGATTTTGGTTCTGCAAGCACTGGGGAGTGGAGGTGTGTTCAGATGGGTGTGTGTTCGGGGGATCGCCATGGCAGCCTGGACTGTGGACTGCACTAGGGTGCAGAGGCCGGCTCACAGGCTACTGCAATAGTCCAGGCAAAGAAGGGTGACGCCTGTGTGAAATGGCTGGAGGAGGACCTCAGTTCCTCAAGGCATCTTCAGCACAAAAGTCACAGGAAGGATTGTTGTTGCTGTAGTTCAGTCGCTGAGTCATGTCCGACTGACTCTTTGCTTCCCCACTGATTGCAGCATGCAGTCCTCTGTCCTCCACTGTCTCAAAGCTTGCTCAGATTCACATCCATTGAGTCGGTGATGCTCTTTGACCATCTCATCCTCTGTCATCCTCTTCCCCTCCTGCCTTCCGTCTTTCCCAGCATCACAATCTTTTCCGGTGAGTCGGCTTTTCCCATCAGGTGGCCAAAGTATTGGAGCTTTAGCTTCAGCATCAGTCCTTCCAGTGAATATTCAGGTTTATTCAGGAAGGATCCAGTGCCCCAAACCTCAGATTCAAGTGTCTCTTGGTTTCCTGGGCTCATGGGATTTGATGGAGCCACTGGGGACAAAGTTTTGATAATAGTTTTTGTTGTTGCCCAGTGCATAATAACAGCAACCCTGCTCTCTCCGTGATCCTTGGCTCCTTACCCCGCACAGGTCTCAGTGAAGCCTTATGTCCTGGCTCATGACAACCCCTCACCACCCCCGAGGTCACATACAGCCTCCCAGACTAAAGGGTCCAGTGCTCAAAATCTGGTCCTGGCACCCCAAAAATGTAATGATTGTAAGATCTAATGTCTGAGGTTCCCAGATTCTGTGTATTAAATTTTAAAATCAAAATTTTAAAATTGAAGTAGAGTTGATTTAGAATATTATGTTTGTTTCAGGTATGCAGCTTGGTATACTCTATTTTTTTCAGTATTTTTGCAGATGATACTTCATTAAACGTTATTACAAGGTAATAGCTGTAATGGAAGGACTGATGCTGAAGCTGAAATTCCAGTACTTTGGCCACCTGATGCGAAGAACTGACTCATTTGAAAAGACCCTGATGCTGGGAAAGATTGAAGGTGGGAGGAGAAGTGGACGACAGAGGATGAAATGGTTGGGAGAAAATGTAGATTATACAGGTTACCAAAAAGAGCACAAAAAAGGTTACTCATAATCCCACCTCTCCAAAGATAACCATTGTTCATATTTTCAGGAATTTTTCCTCCATGCAGATCTTTATTTTCTATAAATATATAAACATTTTTCCAGGAACAAGGTTTTTTCTAGCCAAGTACACAGTGTATATACAGAATATCAATTAATATTGTTAAAAAAACAAATGAAAGGAATCTAGAGTGAAATCACTGGAAGATTGTGGTTATAGCTGTTTCCTGTTTTCTTCTTTATATTTTTCAGTGTTTTTTCAAGTTTTCTAAAGTGAGCACATTTGTTAGGGGCATAGTGTATTAAACTTTTAGACCTTGATAAATA